TCTCCCTCTCCCTCTCCCTCTCCCTCTCCCTCTCCCTCTCCATCTCCATCTCCATCTCCATCTCCTTCTCCCTCTCTTGTTTACCAGCCTGGCCTCGCAGAGATCCACCTGCCTCTACCTGCCGAGTGCCAGGATTAAAGGTGTGCACCACCACTGCCTAATTTATGCAATATCTCTTAATGCTAGGATAAAGGAAAGGTGTGAGGGGGGGTTGTATATGTGGTGTTTGGTGTATATGTAGGTACATGCACTGTGTGTGCAGGTGTGTGTGTAGACACTTGTGGAGGTCACAGGTCAAAGGTCAGTATCTTCTATCACTCTATATTTTGAGACAGGGTTCCTCACTGAATCTGGGGTTCACCCCATGTAAGACTTGCTAGTCAGTGAGCTCCAGAGATCTGCCTGTCTCTGCCTCCAGGGTCCTTAGATTCTGTGGGTGTGACAGCACACACTCACGTTGCACGGGGACCTGAAATGGGTCTTCGTTCTTCCAAGGCGCCACTCCACCAGCTGTGCCTCCTCCTGGCCGAAGGGAAGGTGCTTTTTAGAACGGAAACTGATTCCTCGGGCCCACCTCAACTGAGCATACCGGGCTTTGCCGACTCCCCATGGGAGGCCTTACCTTTTCGGAGGAGGGGATGAGGGGCGGGTTTGCGGGGGGTGGGGAGGTTTGTGGGGAGCACAGGAGGGATGAGAGAGGGATCTGTGGTTGGTATGTAAAATGAATAAAAAAATTTCTTAATTTAAAAAAAAAACTGAAACTGATTCAAAAGAATCTGGTGACACACCTGAAGGCGGGGCAGGTCTTGGCTGTCTGTCTGTCTGTTCCCCGGATGTCTGTCATGCTCTCCTAGTGCACAGCGAATGTTCTGTGAATTCAGGCCAATGCAAAGGAAGAAGTGATGAGCCTGGAGTGGGCGGCCCTCCATCCCCTCTCCAGCCATACAGAGAGGGTCTAAACTACTCTGTTTCTTGTAGAGCTGATCTTGGGCTCTGAACACTACCCACGGATAGTCCTATCATTGCTGGAAATCACAGACTAGACAGAGCTTTTACCCAGTCTTACAATTCTGTCCTCAAATAAAACCCAGACGCCGATGGCCCAGTCTCGCCCTGGGAAGTGGCTAGTGGGGGCACCAGCTTCCTACATCCAGGTCACAGGACCACAAGGTCACGCTAACTCATTCCCTACAGAAACTGGGGCAACCTCCTTTATTCTCCCATCTACTAGCTAGGCTGTTCCCAGCCTCTGGCCTCCCTGTCTTCTCTATCAACCCCCTGCCTCATACTCAAGCCACATTCCCCTGACATTGCAAAGTGAGCTCTACTTTAAAGACAAAAACGAACAAACACAAGGATATTCTGCTACCAAATATGACCAGCAATTGTTAAAGTGGCACAGCCCCACCTCGGGTTTAGGGGATCCTGTCTTCATGCTGGGACATTGGAAATTGGACTTATTCTGTCCCTCTGAATGTGAATGTGTTCCTCACGATGACATTTACTCTTTTGCTTCCTGTAACTAAAGAAAAACTATGTAACTTTCTTTTTCACACTTAACCCTCTACAAAGCCTCAGCAGATCTCATGTTTGTTTATCAAACATACATGCTCCTTCCTTCCCCACCCCCAGCCTCCTGCCCCCGCCCCAGCAAACGATCTTTAAAAGTTTATGACTGATTGACTGATTGATTGACTGACTGATTGATTGATTGAGTGAGTGAGTGAGTGAGTGAATATATGCTTGAGTCGGTTCTCATCTTCTACCACGTGGGACCCGGGGGTTGAACTCAGGTTGTCAGCCTTGGCAGCAAGCACCCTTACCCACAGAGGCGTCTCACTGACTGTGAATGCTCTTTAAAGCCTGTTTACCAACACGTCATCTGAAACCTAGTCTGCCTTTACGTGGAAACTGTCTACAGAGGACACCTGCTTCTGACCACGTGGCGGTGACCCTCCCCAGAATCAGGCTCCTTCCCAAACGGGACTGATATTGGCGGGAGCTGTGCCCAGCTTTCAGGGGGCCTTGGCCCTCTCTTCCAAGGTCGGAGCTACCCAAGCCCAGTGAATCGAGGAAATAACACATTAACATTGCATTTAAAATGGTCCCTGTTTGTGTTCATCTCCCCTCTACAGTAAGATAGAAAACCCACTGTGTGGAGAAGCGAGAAGAACACTCAGGTCCCGTCCCCCCTCCCCCACCCCCTTCCAGGCTGTGTGGTGCTACCTCCTGCTCTCCAGTCTCCACAGAACGACCCTGAGACACAAAAACTGCTTTAGGCACACAAAGCCTAGGTCACTCCAGCAAGAACAACCGATAGAGACCAAACCCCAGGGCCAGGCCCCTCAGACCTCTCAGTCCATTAGAAGGGCACTGTGCAAGAAGTTCACTCATCCCGGGCTCTCCATTTACGACTCAAACCAGGTAAACAATGTCCTGCTCGTACCTTCTTCCATTTATGACTCAAACCAGGTGCCAAACAATGTCCTGCTCGTACCTTCTTCCAAAGGTAGAGTGCTTCCCCTGACCTAGCCTCACCCCACCGCCCACCCCAACAAAGGACAATAACTTCTAAGTCACAAGCCTGTGCCTACCCAGTGAAGCAAGACTTGGGTTGCTATGGAAAGTCTGAAAGCTAAGGACCGGGCTATGTTGGTTTCCAGGGGGTTCTGGGGCAGGCTTCAGCTGGGGTGGCGAAGGCTGTGACTGGAGCTCTCTGGATTGTTTGTCCTCACAACGATCTGATTCTCACTGGCGAATGTGAGCCTGACACCGCAGTTTGGACACCGAAAGCTCTAGAAAGAAACTGTTCGCAACATAAGGAGATGGCGCCCCCTGGTGTCGGCAGCAACTTGCAGGTACCTGAGACCAAGCTCCTCACGGTGACCTTGAGCACGGAGCAGTTGGCAGCTTCAAGGTGGGCCTCGGCCACTTTCCAGATCTATGTGTGCTGGTGGGATGGGATGTTGCAGATCTTTAATCCCAGCATTCCGGAGGAAGAGGTAGAGGCAAGTGGATCTCTGAGTTTGAGGTCAGCCTGGTCTGCGTAGAGCAGTCCAATTTAGACAGGACAACACAGTGAGATCCTGTCTTTAAAAAAAAAAATCAGGCCAGGTGATGGTGCACGCCTTTAATCCCAGCACTTGGGAGGCAGAGGCAAGTGGATCTCTGTGAGTTCAAAGCCAGCCAACTAGTTCTAGGATATCCAGGGCTACACAGCGGATGTCAGCAGAGGGTGTCAGATCCCCAGAGCTGGAGTTACAAGCATGTAACCACCTGCCTGGGTGCTAGGAACAGAAGGGGACTCTCTGCAAGAGCAGCACCAAGTCTTAACTGCTAGGCCGAGTCACCAGTCCCGCCACCAACCTCTTAGTAAGTGATGTGCTGTCTCTTTCCTCTGAGCACATGGACCAGATCCTATAGAGAGTCTCAATTCATGTGGCTGCAGTGCCTTCCCTTCCTTGGTCAATGCCGGTCAGTTCCCAACCTGCAATCTCTGCAGACAGCAAGAGTCAAGCAAAACATGCCACCATGTGCTCATTCTGGGGCTTTAAAGAGAAAGAGAGGTCATGTGTGAAAGATCTGCCACCACCATGTCCTCAAGACACAAGCGGCTCTGGACTGCTGTAAAGGGCTTGCACACAGCTCTTAAGCAAAACAGAGAGAGCATCAGAGAAGAGCTTACTCCAACACGAATCCACAGATAATGCGAACACTCCCAAGTCCTGTCAGTGCAAGAAGGTGACTAGAGAAAACCCTGTTTTACTCTTTGTCCTAAATAGATACCACACTTGCAGTGGAATCTATGGCCAGATCCCCAGGTCTGGGGAATTTGTGTGGAAGGGACCCTGTGAGCCAGCTCTTCCACCCTTCAGGGAACTCAACCGGAAGCATTTGCCTTTTGTGTCAGAGTGAAGCGAGGTCAGAAACCAGAACCTATGTGTCTACTCTCAAAGGGCAAGGCCGTTAACTAGTTAATGATGGATCGCACCATCCAGTTTTCTTCCCTAGTGATGTTAAGTACCACGTGATCATTGTAAAAACTTATAGAGTGTGGTTTGTAAATTTTTAAAGTGTGTAACTACATCTTTTTTGAATCTAAGATAATTTTTGTAAACCTGGTTTACTTATTTAGATTTTTATTTGTTTTTGCTTGTTTGCTTGCTCATTTATCTCATTGTGTAGCTTGACTGGACTAGAACTTGCAATGTAGAACAGGTTGAGCTTGAATTTACAGTCATCTGCCCACCTCTGTCCCTAGTGCTGGGATTACAGGTACACACCACCATGCCTAGCTTGAAAGTTTCATTTTAATGGCCACATAATATACCATTCCAGTCACTCTCTTATGTTGTAGAATATTATTTTAACTGGACAAAGATGTGTTACATTTGTTTATGCTACAGAATATTACTTTAACTGTGTCATAGTGTATTACATTTGTTTCTGCTGCCTTTGTTAATGGTGTAAAGATGTGTTACATTTGTTTGTGCTACATTTGTTTAATTATGCAAAGATGTGTTGCATTTGTTTCACCTTGCCTGCTTAAGGCATTTGATTGGTCTAATAAAAAGCTGAATGCCGGGTGGTGGTGGCGCACGCCTTTAATCCCAGCACTCGGGAGGCAGAG